TTGCACTTAAATCGGGGGAAAGCTCTTTTCCTGTAACGAGGAAAGCACGTCCCGCTTGTTCTCATGATTCCCTCGCTCGGGAACCGATCAATTTTTGATCGGGAGAAGACACAGACGTTGCACTCGGCCCGAGATTTCTCTCCGCTTCGATGGATTCGTTACGGCTCGAGCAGGACTCGATGTTAACGCTTTCGTGGAGACGTGTAAATCATGGAAAGCGCGTAAAGCACCGAAACACCATCCCTGCTCGGGCCGTGTAATTGATTCCGCAAAAAGCAGCCTTGGACGAGATACTGCAACCCGATTCGAATTTTCTCCGAACCGTAACTAATTCTGCATAAACCGGACACCGGTCTTGGACGCGATTTTTGGATGGCGAGAGGAAGCCGTTGATCCAGCAGAATTAAATGACGCCTTGACGAAGATGCTTATCGACGCGCCGGAAAGTAAGGCGAGGGGCATCAATCATAGGTGCACGTTAATCGCGAATGGCATCGTTTGGTAACGCGTGCGCGCCCAATCTACCGTGAACTGCACGCGTTCCGGTAGCTACGAGTTAGTCACACGTCGCTATTCCAGATCTTTCGGACCCTGGATACCCACGAGTCGCGTCGATGTATACGCAGAACACGCGCGACGTCTTGACGGGTACCAATGAAGATTGGCGACAACTGTTGATGATTGATGACCACTGCTGACCACTGGTGCCTGGTTGATGAGATCAGATTTACCAGATAAGCCCTATCAACGAATACAACGAACAAATTCAGGAATATTCTTCCTACATTTGGGTCAGATAGCCTCGCTTGTGGCGTGACCTGGAATCCCAGCACCCTGCGATTCACGGAAGGTCGTAGACCACAGCGACGCGTTAGAAGTTTTACGGTAGCCCTTTGCGGTCGAAGCTCTCCCGGGATCGTCCCATCGAACTATCTATTAAATATAACGGGTGGAAGAGAGACTCGGTGATCCCGTAAAGGCAGCCAGGCGCGAAGATCATCGAGCTCCGAGCCCAGAGAGATCTGGATGCTGTGGACGAAGCAAAATCAATTGGTCTTTCGAGTATATACACTCCCCAACGTAACCTTCGCCTTGTTCACCTCTTCTCTCTTAACGCACACTTTGCGGCACGCGTTCTTCGTCTCTGGAATTCGTCTGGATACTGCTACAACGTGAAAGGGTAGTTTTAAATATTCGAGCGACGTTATATTGTTCATAAAATTTGTTATTGTTACTATTAACCATTTGCACTCGGATGAGGGTTGAGTCTTTGAGAGTCTGTGTGCCCTAAAACTAATGGATGTTACTTTCCATCGAAAACTTCTTCAATTATCATCAAAGTAACATAATTTAAATCAGAGCTCCGCTCTCACTATTCCCCTAATTTCCAACCGTGCCTGGTTAATTACAGAAGCAGATTAGAGTGCAACGTAACTTAGATTCTATGTTTTATGATACATGCCCCCGATAGAGATACGGACGTGGCACTGAGGCAAGTCTGGCTACAGGAGACCGGCAGAAGGTTGCAACTGATATACGAGGGTGGCACGCTGACCGACTGCGTCGACGAGAAGCTCTCCAGAGGAGACGAGGATTCCTGCTCATCCAGCGTGCAGTCCGACGATTACGATGCCCAGGCGTCCATCGAGGTATTTGAGGTGGACGACGACGCGTCGAGGATCCCACATGACCTCTCCTGGCTCTCGTCGATGTCGGAGTTGCGTCATCGGTGCGTGCACGTGAGGACAAGGGCGAAGAACCAAGTGATCGCGCAGCATCGTCGCAGGTAAGAGCACATCGTCACCTGGAACAGAGATTGCGACAGTCACAGAGGTAGAATTGTACAGAGATGTTTATATTTTACGCAGGAAGTACGCGAATCTTCTGAACGCGACGAATACTAGTCACAAACAGAGGAGAGGCAAGAGTCGGTCGCGGAGGGACTTGTTGATGATCCCAGGAACTCAATGGTGCGGCAGGGGTCATCGTGCGACCAAGTACACGAATCTCGGCGGTTTCGGTACAGCTGACGCCTGTTGTCGCAGACACGACACCGCGTGTCCTTTCTTCATACCGGCGTTCGAGACGCGTTACGGCATCTTCAACTGGGGCATCTCAAGCATGATGCACTGCGCCTGCGACGAACGGTATCGTTATCAATAGCCCATAATCCATCCCATACAAGATTGTACCCCGTTATTCTTTTAGACTTTGTATTCCCTTTCTATTACCTTTCCATTACCTTACCAGTAAACCGAATCAGAACCGATCAGAACCTTCCGATCGAGATACGAACGTTTCCCGTTCTCCTACGTTGTCCCCCATCCGTCAATATCGTAGACTAATCGAACGTGCTCGATCCTTGTAGTTTCCGCGCGTGTCTGAAGATGGCGGGAACAGCATCAGCGAACTTCATCGGGAAAATCTTCTTCGACGTCCTTCGAACGAAGTGCTTCGTCCTGAAGCCCCAGAAAGTCTGCTCGAAGTGGTCCTGGAAGAGCAAGTGCCAGCGGCACGAGTACCGGAAGCAAGCTCACGTTCGCGACAATGTTCCTTATTAATAGAAAGAGAGACATTCGATTATACTTCCTCTGGAGCAGTGAAAGGGGGGAGAGATCCAAGAAGAGAATCGATCACCTTCTTGTCAAATGATCAACGTCTGATTTCACGAATGACAATACGTAGCGATCGCAATAGCAGCGATTGAGCTTAAGGGATGTTGCGAGATTTTCTAGAGATTTTCCAGATTCAATCTCGAGTGCCATCGTATGTTCACTTTCCTTTTTATCGCTCTTCGTTTCGTAAAAGTCTGGACAAATTGTTTCGGGATACGTAGACAAGGTTTAATTTCTGTCGTCTATGTACTCTAACTATTATAGTCGCTAATGTCTTAAAAGATGCCAAACAAATTATTCTGTAGATAAAACATAACGAAACTATACATATCAAGTAGAGTAATTTTCCATGCACTGGGAAAACTAGAAGCAAATCGATATTAAGTAGTTCGATCGAGTCACATTTCCGCTAACGATGTTTCTTTTTCGTTGACTGTACTTTGTGTATGTATTTGGTATGTTTGTAGTACGAATGAAGTATGCTGTTGGGCGAATATCTCAAATTTTGTAATATTTCGATGGTACAGTTGAAAAGAAAAATGCTAAAAAATATATATAGAGTAATAGCGATAGGTATTCAATGATACGTATCGTTAAGTCATTGGAATAATTAATATTCCTAACTATCGACATCGAGAATTTGATAAAGAAGGCGAGTCGAAGTAATTATCCCTTCTTATAATATCATCACTTTTCTTGTGTCTCGCGTTGCAAGAAATATAGTACAGTCTCTGTACTAGTAGGTTTATCGTTGTAAATATGTATAATAGGAAAACTGTACTATTATCTTCAATAAAAGGCCACGAGAATAATTATAATGAATTATTTATTCGAGCTAAGCTTCGGTGCGTCTTTAAATTAGAGTTTGAATTCAAAAATTCAAATTTGCCGCGTTATTGGACGCTTGCGTGTCTTGCATCAAACCAGCCTCTGCAAAAGCGCGGTTTATCGCATTAGAATCATTTATCGATGCAACAGAACGATAAAGATATCATAATTCTTGATCCTTTGTAAATCGTTAAGCATTTTGTGGTGTCAGTTTTCACTGTTAAGGATTCGATGGTATCCTTCAAGCAGAATTAGCGAAAATAACCTGAGAGCTTTCGTACACTCGACCATGAAAATGTACGAAAATCAAGTGAAAACGAAGCAAGGAAAAATCGAGTGCTCATCCACGGAATTGGACCTGGGAATCACTTTAAAAGGAGGGCAGAGTTTTAGGTGAGTTATTAAATAATGTTAAGTTTACTTCGTCGACGTAACATAACCAATATTGCTACATAGTGACAGATATCTCCGTACTCGTGAATTTTCCCGCGTAATTTGAGATCGACATCTGAATACATTCGACAAGTATCTTGATAAAACTAATCTTTATTTGTAACTTACAAATGAAGGATAATAAATATCTTTCAGGTGGTTTCCCTACAACAATGGTTACAGAGGAGTGTTTAATGGATGTGTTTGGACTCTCATGCAAAGTAAAACACGTTTGTCTTACACTGTACAGGGTCCACTAGTAGACTCTGAAAACTACGACGAGCTTCTGTCTAGATATTTCAGGCTAGATGTGTCGTTAGAAGATCTCTGCAAAGAATGGGCTGCAGCAGATCAGTGCTTTAAGAAATTTTCAAGCAAGACAAATGGTGTTAGAATCTTGAACCAAGATGTTGTTGAAAATACATTCTCTTTCATATGCAGTTCAAATAACAATATACAAAGGTTTGTCGAACGATCTACTTGGACATGTACATTATTTAAATACTTAATCTTTGTAGAATATCAGGAATGGTAGAAAAATTGTGTTCGTTATTTGGGGAAAAAATCTGCTCCATCGAAAACAAAGATTATTACAGTTTTCCATCCATAGAGGCATTGACAGGCGACGTTGTGGAATCGAAATTAAAGGAAGAAAAATTTGGATATCGCGCAGGATACATCGTGAAGGCAGCAAAGAGTTTACTGGAACTAGGTGGAAAACAGTGGCTCTTGAATCTACATAAAGAGAAGAATGTGTCTTATGCTAAAGCTAGGGAACAGTTGATTATTCTTCCAGGGATTGGACCAAAAGTTGCAGATTGTATATGCTTAATGTCTTTGGGCCATTTAGAAGCCATCCCTGTAGATACTCATATATTTCAAATCGCTAGGGCTAATTATTTACCACGTTTAGGACAACATAGAACGGTTACACCGAGAATTCATACGGAAATCAGCTGTCATTTGCGCGAGTTATGGGGCCCCCTTGCTGGCTGGGCACAAGCTGTAGTGTTTTGTGCAAAGATCAATAATAAGGATGCTTCTATTATGTTCGAACAAAAACGTAAAACTAGTACAGTTGATGAATCGCTGGAACCAATGAATTGTAAAAAACGACAAACAGCATAAGTTTCGTCTTGCATGTTAGCAAGCTTCTTTGTTACTTATATTTTTATGATATAACTCTTTTTAGTATATACATATAATACAAGTGTACAAAAAATAGTTAAGTAATATAATATAAAACGTATAAAATATAGAACTTTTGCGAATGTAAGAAGTATGAAAAAAAAAGTAAGAAGAAGAAGAAGATATACGTCGTTGTAATTTATATCCTCTTTCTCTTTCTCCTACTAATACCTACTAGGGCATAGTCATAATCGTCAAGTATCATATGGTCCGTTCGGGACTTTAGATCGTCCTTCTCTTTGTCCTCATCTTCTGCAATTAAAGTAATGATCGTAGATAAAATATTTATAATTCTCTAACAAAAGTTCGATTTTGAAAATTTTCTTACTTAATTTTGATTTCAATATATCTGCAATAATATTCCCCGAGAGATACCGTAGTCCCGGAAACATAGTCGCTAAGTATTCTCGTTGCGGAGATTTTAACACAGCCAAACATTCTGTTTGCAAAGATACTGGAATGGAACACGCATGAGTTAGTCTCATCATACTCTGGGCGGCAGTAGAAGATACCATAGGATACAACATGACATCTTGTAGTCCGGTAAAAGCAATGCCTAAAATATAAAATCACAGGTAAAGAAACTATATTGCATCAGTATGAAGAATATTATAATTCATTTACCAAGAGGTTCCCTGTTCACGAAAAACTCTAAAGTGCCCCTCCATGTATTCAAGTATATACCAACTAAGCTGCCTTGCCCAAAGCAGCAACCATACTTTCGTTTTTCATCGCCATGTTGTACATATCCTTGATAAGAAAAACCATAAGATTCCTTATCAAGTCCAAGCAAGGAACAAAAGGTATCGCTTTTCCCATTCAGATCTACTTTGCTTGTTCCAACTCCAACCATCTAAAAGTATTTTTTTAAAAGTATTAGTATTCCACACCTACATGTTCTTGGATGTTATAAATTTATTTAATACTAACTATGTCTGTCCCATAAACAGGGGTAAGCATCTTAAGTTCCCAGTAATGTAGCTTTCCTTTTTCTAAAGGTTTAGTGCCCCTCACACCAGCTGTACCACTGCTATACCCACTGTGAAACATAACTTCTAAATTTTTTCCTGACAAGGCGACAGTATGTGTGGCCAACTTTTCGTCCCATGTCCATTCATGTGTTGCTAGAAATTAATTACACAAGCGATACAAGATACAACTGTTGTCTGGTAAAAGTAAATAAAAATCTACGACTGTTACAGAATATAAATAAAATTCTTAATTCTTACCATCGTTTTCACCGCAACGACAGTCTTGCGGCTTGCAGTTACAGAAGCTTTCGTACTGCACAAATCGTCTTAGATCGTGTTCGACATTCATAATATTCGATTCAAATGTTCTCACGACTTCTCGAGAAACGTGGTATGAAGCTAGGTGGTATTAAGGTAGATAGTTAAGCAAGGTAGATTTTAAAGTTGAAAGAATTAATGAAATATGAAGTGACGTAGAATATTACGACTGAATCGTAAGGTTTATAGGTACGTACAATTTCAAACGAGTTATCGAATACGAAAGGAATACTTGTTAAACTCTGAGAGGAGATAGAACGAAAGTAACGGAAAAACAAAACACTGTGCTAAGCATTTATACAGCATACAACGATATAGCTATACGACTTACAAATAGTTTAGTGGTATTAGTCAGTCTATAGTGGCGCCATCGGTGGGAAAACGCTCAAGTTTGTAAAGAAATTAATTTCTAATGCAGACGCTAGATGACGCCACAAAGTTATTACACACCGACATTATAGTTTTAGATTAGTGGCGACTCCAAGTGTAGAAAAATGGAACTAATTTTCGAAGTTTGGTCAGCGCCTCTATCGGGAAAACGCCCAAGTTTGTCCTCGATTAGTTCCTCTTTTTACTGGTAGATGGCGCCATTAACTTGATTTTTGTCGATACATTACCATAATGCGGTAAATAATATTGTAAATAGCGCCATCTATCAGTAAATAAAGGAACTAATCGAGGACAAACTTGAGCGTTTTCCCGATAGAGGCGCTGACCAAACTCCTAAAATTAATTCGCTTTTTCTCCACTTGAAGTCGTCACTAATCTAAAACTATAATGCCGGTATGTAATAACTTTGTGGCGTCATCTAGCTTTCGCAATAGGAACTACTTACTCTACAAACTTGGACGTTTTCCCACCGATGACGCCACTGTAGACTCACTAAATAAATATACAATTATTATATATTCTCATATATTCGGAATATTTTCTTGACATAAATAATTACGCATTGAAAGAACAGTACTATCTTTAATTGGTCTCAATTAGCTATCAGATAAAAGAGTAAAGAGTGCCTGTGGAAAGTAGACCACGGAGTAGAATGGGTGGCCATATTTAAAGCATAATATCACCAAAACGCAATCTTTCCCAAATAGTTTGTTCCAACAGATCTTCCAAACCAAATGCAGGAAAATTTGCAAGGTCCAAGTTCCTATTTCTATCTCCTTTCAAATTTAATAACATTTTAGCTGAGAATATTTAAAACACGCGGCTACGAATGCATCGGATATGTGCATCTTGTTGCTTTGTATTGGCAGAAGTGTGAACCTCGACATCGAGCCGATTTCCGTCTTCTGCCAGTTTACGCAATAGACGAGTACTGTTCGATTTTTGTATTTGCCGAGTTCCCAGTAAAGTTTCTCACAAAATGTTGCGTTTTATGGGAAGACGTGTACATTCCATCGTGAAAAATTCTGTAGTACCCCGTAGCACAGCTATCGGGGCTCAGAATGTTCGCGCTTCGCACGATGGCCCCGAGGAATCCGAAGAAGAGTTCAACCAAAAATACAAGGACTATTTTAATCGTCCAGAGATCGATCACTGGGAAGCACGTCAAGTTATGAACACGTTAGCTGGTTAGTAATCTTGTAATTACCCTCAGTCGTCTTTTATTTAAATTAACCCATGTTAGCTGTGACGTTTGATACTTACTAAATGCAGTCTCTCTTGGGCCATTTAAATTCGAGAATTCGATTTATTTTTAATAAAGGATTGTGTAAAGTATTCCTTTGGAAAAATACTCTGTCGTTTCGCCAGAGTTCTATTATGAATTATGGAGGAATGGTAGTTTCATATATGTTAAATATATATATTAATTGATTATATTTTTGGAGGATTCCAGTGGTCAATCTCTTCTCTACCTACCTACCTACCTACCTACTTACTTACCTGTGTTATTACGTTTTCCTGAAATAATCTATCGTATTAAATGGTTGTCATTTTTTATTCTTTGCAGGTATGGAACATATACCAGATCCAATAATCATTTGTGCAGCAATAAGGGCCTGTAGGCGATTAAATGATTACGCTCTTGCAGTGAGATTCTTGGAAGTTGTTAGGGACAAATGTGGTCCTAAACTAAAGGAGATCTATCCTTACATTCTTCAAGAAATCAAACCTACTTTAGAAGAACTGGGGGTCAATACACCGGAAGAGCTTGGTTATGATAAGCCAGAACTTGCACTTGAATCAATTGATGATATGTAAACTATAGGCATACAAACTACAAATATAGTATTAATGTATAGAAATACTTTTTGTTAGATTTTCTAAAAGAAAGCATTGGATCTTCAAATCTAATAGGAAAGAACTTTCTTTGTACATACCTGTTATCAAATACTGATTAAAATAAATGATCGCTACCAACCTACACAATTTACATTTTTATGTACAAAGCACTGACAATTAAAAATAATTTCTAAACATAATTAGCATTTATGCAATGCTTACATTATTATTGGAATGAACAAAAACGAACTGATATGTATGTATTATATTTTAATTGCAACTTCCATTGGTTCTTCGCGTTGCTTCTAAACTTTTTAATATTTTTCAATTTACCATTTTTGTCCTTTTTACATCAAAAGTAACCAAAGCGGAAAGGTGACACAACGACGACGTATGTACAACTTACACCGTAAAATACACAGCGAGAGAGTCATGTACGCGTACATCTATAATTATCTAAAATGGTATTACATATTCTTTTCCAAACGACATTTAACTTAATTTTATGTTCTGTGTGCTTTGTTACAGAGAACAAAAAAAATATAACACGGTCTTACATGGGAGTATCAATATATTACATTTTGTATGCAATGGCCACAGTTTTTTAAAAAACAATATAACAATTAATATCTAATCTTTATGATTTGTTCTACTGATAATCATTAAATTTATCTACTTTCTTCTATTAATGTTATAAAAACTTTTTTTGGTATCGTTCGTACTCGGTGTCGCGGGCAGTTTGTTGTTTCAATGTTACGACTCACAGGAACTTCATTCACGATAAAGACACGCATACCAATAAACTTTAAATCATGCAAGTATCGCAAACTCGTTATTAAAATTATTCGTGACAAACACATTTTATAATTCAAATCGTAATTTTATTGAACAAATCGGAGGATCGAAAGTTTATCTTTCATCGGTTAATTCAATATTTTATTTCGACGAGAATTTTCCTCATCTCTGGACACATTTTAGTACGTAAAAATACTAGAAGATATAAAAAATACAAGTAAAATCATTAGAGAAAATCAAATGTCATTCTTAAACATCGATCACGCATCCTTGGCAAAATTTGACACCGCAACATTGAAACAAGATTGCACAGAAAACATAACACTTTCCCTAACTTTAGATACAGTATAAAAGTGAGTTGACATTTAAATGCATGGAAATGTTTCGACAATTTTTTGTTTTCTTCGTCAATAACAAAAATAAATACATTTTCGATTTTATCTGCAAATGAACATAAAGAACAATACATGATTCCGAGTTTTCGCATTCTGTGTATTGTCGAGATAAAACAGAATGGAAAGGAAAGGACCCCTAGTACCCATTTCCGAGAATTATATAGTGTTCTTTATAGCATCGATCGAAGTAATTCTCTAATACAACAACGTAGTATTAATATAATAAAATTAATCATGTTACGTGGGTGTGCATTGAGACTTCAAATCCATACTTCTTATTTTCCAAAAAATTATATCTTATAGCCTATTTGTACCCGTCAGAAATGCTTAATTTTTTTTTTCCATTTACCGCTACTATCGACCATTAGTGTATATTAATATGTACTGTTAATATGTCTCTACCGCCAGAAAAAAAAAAAGAAACGATTAATTTTCATACCTCAATACATCATAAAAATAGGCTACATGTTCTGTTCGTCTAATTTGATAGCCAAATTTCATAAATTCGAATGTTACGTTTAAATCGGAATCTTGATACCGCGGAATTTCGATTAATCTTCGCTAACGAAGTACTTTACATGCAACCCCATCTCCTGTATTAAATATTTCTGAATATCGAGATGATTATCTTTTTCGTCATTCTAAAAAATATCCTTCTGTTAACTACTCGTGAATAAATTACATCGTTTACAGGTATCAAGAATCGTTGGGAAAAATTTAATCGGACGCGATCGACGATTAGGTTATCGACAAATTTCTCCGATTGTACGTTATTCTTATCGAATAATTAATTATCAGATTAATTAATCGATAATGCAACATCGGAGAAATAAATCGTTAAAGCAACCGTCAATCGTTGATCGTGGTAGAGAATTAGACGATTATTGCCCAACTCTGGCTATCGAGTACGCTGCGTTAAAATTCCACTGAAAGGATTAATTTGACATAGTTAAATTATACACTTCCTATCCGTTCCAGTCGTAAAATAGTTCAACACGAATCTTAAATTCTTTGGTATATCGATCGCTTGTACGGATTCGACATCGAGGACTAGACGAAAATATTTTGCATCCGTGATCGCTGGATCGAAAAAATGGTGTAATTCCCAGTTCCCGCGGATATTGCGTCGCTCTAAATGAATCGATGATATATCTCCACAGATTCAGACGATTCGAACGCAAGTAGTACTTCCTAAAAATTAGTACTATCTTCGAGAAATCGAATTACAAGTGAATTACTCTAAGTGCCTGCAATGAATCATGAATACAAATATGATTACATCCAAGAAGTCCCGATGTGTCAAACATTCGATCATTTTCACTCTCAAACGCATATTCACTATATCCCGTTTTGCTGTTCTTAACAGAAGGACACACTACACGATGATTCAGAAAAAGACACAATCGTTTTGCCTTAATATTAATAACACGTATCGTTTCTAATACTCTCACTCGTTTTCTCTTTTTGAACACCACTAAATGTGCACCCGTCGCATTTTTGGTGTCAACATAAAAGCTTTCTCCTTTTCCTGTTTCTTTGTTTTCTTTTTATAATAACTATGTAAAACGCTTTATTCTGGACTAGAGACGGTTTGTTGTTGTTGACTGTCCTCGTCTTTTACAACTTCAGCCTGCATGGCCTTCGTAAGGGCATTAGCATCCTTCAACGATATCACTTGTAGAACTTGATGTTCACCTGCTGCGTTTATCATTGTCATTGGATGCCCTTGTATAGTGACGGCCTCGATGCTAGTTTCTCCGTTTCCTGGCTCGACTTTTGGGACTTGAACCATAGGCGTGACTACTTGCATTGTACCGTCACTTTGAATATTGGCAACCATAGTCTGATACATACTAGCAGACACTGGTACTGTTATAACCCCTGACACCGATACAGGATATCCTGAAACAGAGAAGCAACAGTCCTGTGTTCTGCCCCTTGACCAGGCATTGTTTTGTATGACAAACTGGGAAAATTAGAAAATAAAACTCAGCAACGTGAAAAGCACACGCAACTATCGTGTGTGTATGTATGCATGTGTGTGTGTGTTTAGTTATTGATGTTACAATTTTTTATTTAAGTATCGCCGTATTACCTGAACTCGTCCTAGCAATCCTACCAGTTTACGATACAGTTAAAGATTTAATGTAGACTATAGAGATTCTCTAACATTTAAGTATACGTTTACGAGACGAAATCCTCTATTACATAAAACCGATGGAAAATAAATAGAATTCTATATTAATAGGACGTGCTAAAGAAAAGTGATACATATAGGGTATTAAAAGAAATGTTTGCAGACTTTGGACACATACAATATTTGCTAAACCAAATCACTCCAACCCTAACAATGTTGAGCTTTCATCTAACTATGATCGAGGATTGATTTAGTTCGGCGAGTATTACATGTACTCAAGGTCTGTGAACATATTTTTTATGCATGATGTACTAACGTAATTTTGTTTCGATTACGTAATCGAAAATATATTTTTTTTTCTGGCACGCCCTTTTAACGTAGTATCATGAATACGCAAACATAATTCACATCTATACTTCAGAAACATAAGGCATTAATAATAAGCAACAGATGTTTAAGCCATTCTGTGAGACGAAATTTACGAGCGTATAGAAAAGTCTTGCAAGTATAGATTTGAAATTGAATACGTTTAACGTTTGAACAAATTCGAAACACCAATCGCGAGTAGCTTAAACAAAAGCTGCCGAGTACAACAACTATAAAATAATAAAACATCAACAAAAAATACTCTATGTACAGCAGTTTTATTTCTCTTTGTTTAATTCAAGTAAATAAACCAATCTTCGGTAATAATGGTAAGTGGTGATTGTAGAACGGGGATAGGTTCTTTTTTGTGATCGTCAAGTACCTTCGTTTATTTCTCGTTAAATAAAAATCTTAAGAATCCATGTGAAGTTGATCAATTGTACCGTTATGTCACGATTCATACACTCCAGAATGTTACGACATCTGATCATTTTACTCGAACGAGTACGAACTATGCATGCAACATTCCGATATATAAATGTATCATATTTAAATTAACTTCAATGTTTAAAAATATTATGTACATGCATATACATATATTAATTCGTTTATATATATATTTTTTTTTCATAATTGACATCTTTCTATTAAGGGTTGGTATAAAAAAATTGTGTAGCATCATCTCAGAAAAAGAATAGTCTAACATATACAAATACATACAAAACGACACAATATCGAGAGCAGTTTGCAATCAATAAACCTTTCTTCTTTTTACGCGACGATTCAACGTAATTTATAAAAAAAAAAATAATAAATCAATAACATCATCGTACGGTCTGAACGCTCACTCCGATGGTCTTTACACTGTGCTAAATCATGGATTCTTAAAGATAAAATTAAAATAAAGCTGTGCATAGCTCCTCGAGTGAAATTGCCGTATGTACAGTACCAAAAAAAGATTAACTAAGTCGACATTCTACTTTCGTTGTACAAAGTAGTAGAACAGTAGGTAGTTTCTTGAATGGAGCGTAGCAGACAGCATGCAAAACAACAAAGGATCCTGGGCCAGTAAAAATGAATTCACTGCTCAAGTAGCTCCTGGCCGGCGACGGTGCAGAGCCTATAGAAAACTGTTTTACCGTGTCCGTCTTCTCCTGTGAGAATGATTTGACCGTCTTGGCCTAATGTCGCTTCTGTAACACTGTTCAGGTCGACAGCAACGCTAGTACCTTCTGCGCTACCTGCAACTTCAGCGAGGGCTTGAACTTCCCCTTGACTCGTATGAATCTACGCATCAAAAATATTCAGTCTCAAATATTTACCGAGGTCGTTGTTAATTATTAGAACAATATTTAATACAATAACGACTTACGGTAGCAACGCCCTGGACTTGGGCCGTTGTACCATCTGGTAACGTGATTATCGGGTTACTAGGATCCACTTGGATGATGGAAACAGTACCGTCAGGATTCGTTATCGTTTGCAAAACTGCCGTTGGATACTGGGTCATCTGTAACGTAAAAAAACGGATTATTAATTGCGATCTTCGTCAATGTTTTCCTCAAAATGTTTAACAATCTGCGTGTGGTAAAAACGAGAAGAAAAAAAATGACAACCGCGCGAGACATAATTAAATGAAATGTTTTCACGAATGAACTATTAAATGCATTACATGATACATAATTGCGTATGCTGTACAGGGTGACTCTAGAAACTGGAACCAGCCGTAGCTCCTGTTTACTCGAAGATTCCTCATTTTCTAGAACCACCCTGCACGACAATTACAGAAATAAAGACGGATCAAACTCAAATAAGGGAAACCAAACACACGAACATAAACGCAAGTTATGTTCAAATGAATACGTTCCAAACTCTAATTCTTTTCTACGTAAGAATTTAAAAAAACGCCATGACCTTATTGCGCGCGGTAAAGATATATACGTGAGTCTACGTAACGAGAACTACTAAGTCATTGTACAATTTTTTTCGGTCATGTTGTTTCATTCAATTCTGTTTCTTTTCTCTTTTTTTTGTACACTCTATCCACTCCCACCTGAGTGGCAGTGGCAAGAGCTGTAGGAGACGCGGCAATGATTTGTGCTGGCGAAGAGTTTCCCTTAGATGAATCCGCGCTGCTCAGGCGAACGACTCCCACCGTCTGTTGTTGCTGTTGCTGCGACTGTCCACCTTGTCCTTGACCGGATGAATGCGATTGGTGTGACGAGGAATGAGGAGTGGACTGTTGTATCAGCACGTTCGACTTATCATCATCTTCACTGAATGCAGGTAGAAGATCTTCTCTCCCGTGAAATTTATAACAGTTTATTACAATTTGCCTTAACGCGTGCGTCCAAGAAATCTGGAAGATTTCACGAAAAGAATTAAATAAAGTAGAAGAAGCATTCGCTTGAAATTGTACGAATTTACAAACCTTTTGTTTTTCGTCCTCGGACCTTGCATCCATACGAACATTTGCCCATGGTAGTTCTTTCGGCCACCATGGCGGCCGTGTACTATCCCTACCCCAACCGGGTTTACCTCTACCTGTGGAATACTTTAGCATTAACGGGATAAACGCTCTGAGTTGAGCTTGTGTCATTTTTTCCACGGGTGTCGGTATGCCATCTATTATGAGAGGTGGTAATTCATATAAAGATGGATCATCTTGTACTGGCGGCGGGGCTTGTTGCGCGAGTGCACTTTCAAGTTCTTCCATAATAACATTTCTTAAATTTTTTACTACATCTTCTAACGGCTTCGCTCCGAATACTTTATAACTACTGTTTGGCTTTCCGGGTGTAGCTACTAATACTACTGCTTGTTGTCCAACTCGCGTTGCAAACTCATCTATGGTTTGCTGAAATAATACTTGTATTAGTAACATATTAGAATGTAATATGTATATAAGAATTGAAGAATGCAAACTTACTCTGAGTTTTCTTAGGAGTCTGTTTTGTTGTCTCTTTCGGATACTGGGATTTGTTTCAAAACTATGAGGTCGTTTCCTCTTTTTTGCCGAAACAATAGCGGCGGCTGCGGCTACGCCAACAGGGCCTAAATAAGCGTATTATTAACTATATATTTTCTTATTTTACGATCCCACACCAAATGAGATGTCAGTAGAATATATCACGAAATATACTAGAACATACCGATTCAAAAGTTGCGATATTTAATGTAAAGATGATTCGTTTAAATTTACATTCACATATATTTGACTGACATATCTCACACATATGTTTAGTACATTCAAAACATAAAAGATGCGAAAGCAATAGTGATATGAAACGTGCTTTATACCTAAGAGTATATAATATATGTAATCGACAATACAGTAGTACAAAAGTTTCATTAAGTAACTCATTTATATTTCAATTAAAAAACCTATATATTATATACTCTTAGATTCCTTAGACAAGATGAAAATAAACGTCTACACTCTACTTTTGTTTAGGACATTTAGATACTGGACATGGCAAAATAAATTTGCTGAACAAAAACATAAATGCAAATTAAGAATATGAACTTGATGTAGTATTACAAAGCTAATGAATTAAAAAAAAAGAGAGACAAGAAAGAATGATACATGGATAATATTAAACATAATGACACAACTATAAATCACATACAAAATTGCAAATATAAAACAGTGTTTCCATATAAAAGAAAATAATAAAAACATAAGCAAATAATAATACAGCACACAAACAATGTAAAATGCATTCAATGGCAGCATGTATGTCAATTTGACTTGTATGGTGATTGTATTCTACATTAATAAAGAATAAAATTAGAATGATAAAAAAAAGAAAACCAATAAATTCATGCTGCTCTGTCAATGATGTAAGTAACCAAAAGGTAACAAATATATCTGTTTGCAGCTAATTATAGCACATAAATAATTAAAAGTGTTAACAACATTAAAATCGAACAATTCCTCTTTTTTATTTTTTGAGATAGTTAGTAATTACCAAATCATTGGCAGGGACTTGTATGGATGACTGTATAGCCATTTTCTACCTCTTTCTAGCGACTGTATAGGTAACTTTGATTCTATGTGCTAATATTATAGATAGACCAACATTACTTCTGCTAATATTATAGATAGACCAACATTAAATGTAAACTTTTATACAACTTTACTGATTACTTTATAGACATAAATTACAAGTCCTTCTTCTAACTTCTCCCTTTTGCAATGAATCGATCATTCAACATCATTGGTGCACCCTGTATGTTACATTATACTCGCAAATGAAATTGATTAGAACGTGAGCAACTCAAAAGGTGAAAAAGCAAAAAAATGGAAATCACCATTAGCGTGTTTGATTTGCCAACCTGCAGCGGCGAGTTGGGCCGTCACGTCATCATCCATAGCAGCCGATAAGAGGTCGCCCTCCTCGTACGTTTCGGACCCGCTACTTGGCTCGTCATCGTCGTCGTCTGAGATTCTGTCCATCGTGCCAGACTCCGCGCTAGGCAGAGATACCATTTTCTCCTCTTTGTCACCCGTGTTGTCCTTCCTTGTATTGCAATGCCCCGTCAAAGCAGATGTCCGTCTTTATACCCCGACTTGATTTCCTAAGTTTTTCTTCTACATCACCTCTGTCTGTACCAAAGGATAAAGATTGTTAATGGCTTACAAAATAATTAACGCTCTTTTAGAAATATATATGTAAATCATAAATGCCCTCTCAATTTCCATAGCATTCATGATTATATAGATACTTACAATAATACAATTAATGTACAAAAGATTTGACATTAATTGTATGACTTTTTTAATTGAATTTATACAAATCCTGCATAATTATTACAATGACCGAACACTGAAGGCCATATGTAACTAACACAGGAAAAGTATGGCAATGTAACATATTGGCCAATAAAGATAGCAAAAGAAGTGGAAAAGACAAAACGAATCCAGTGTAACGATAAAACGCACACGATAGTGGATTCTAGAATCAGAAAACAACGGGATTCTGGAACGAAGCGTTTCCCGCGCTTATGGTCGGAAGAGTCACGCGCGTCCTCGTGCGTGAAAACAAAGAAGGGGAAAAAATTTACCACGACCAAAAGCACGGAAAAAATACAACATAAATGTTATTGGAAGTCAGATTCGAATGATTAAACCTCAGAAAAACAGCTAAAAAAAAACTGTTTTACAAAGGTTAGCATTCGTTGACATGTAAAGGGAACAAAGACATTTTGGGCTCGTTTTCACGGTAATCATCATCACATGGAACAGTTACTACAATAACATGTGTAACGTAATTAGAAATAAATATTCGAGCTTGCGTGAGATCTTAAAATTTAATTTAAAAAGGAACGTGACTTATAGAATCGTTCGACGGGATTCGAATTCCCGCGCAAATGGAAACATAAATTCTACAGGCTACGCCACGTTGTCAGATAACAAACGGCCTTTACAATACGACAAATAAAACCTGTTAATCGGAAGAGTTTGAAACTACATATAATTATTTTCGGCATTTCAAACTCTGTTAGCTCGAATAATCTCGTTTTACGCCTTATATCGTTATTTCCGATATCAACTGTGCTTTCGTTTTTAGCATTATTCTTTAAGGTTGGTACACCACTCGTAACCACGTTCAGTGCGAGTTTTCAATAGAATGATACAACCAGATGAACAATTTAAATAATACTTTTAAACAAGCGTTCTTTCTATACATGATTAAATTTATGATAAAATAGATTCGTATGTATCGAAGAAAGTAAAGGGTATTAAAGGAAGTATTTAAAGGAAGGCATAAAAAAAATGAAATATTATCAGATTCCTGAAGGAAGTTCTGTCGTTAAGTTCCAACTTCCCGTCAATTTCATAGCGTTACCTTGATAAAGCAACTATTGATAGAGTCGTTGTAGTTGGAATTTTATAATATCCTTGAATAAAGCGTCGCAGTTGGAGAAGGGGAAGAACGTTTTCACTAGAGGGTATCCGGTTGATGATAACGTTAACATCGCCGTCGCCGTCGTCGTGGTCGCGATCGTCTAAGGATAGACGAGCGATACACGCGAACCGCGAAAGGGAGACGACGGCCCGGTTCGGTCGCGTTAGGCATGCCGGTTAGGTGCACTCGTGGCCCCGAAGGACGAGAATCTGACAGACAAGTAGATGAGGAACAACGAGGATACGGTGACCGTTAAGAAGCCTGGTAAAAGTGGCTTGGGCAAAGCGCGACGATACACGACACGGAGAGAGGATGCGCCAAGCCGCGCACACGGCGCGTTTATTCGGCGACACGTTTGGGGGGGCAATGAAAATGCGCAGGGCACACGCAAAAGAGACCACCTCCGAAGCCGCGGAAGCTCATGACCGCGTTGGTACCGCGCGTTGAGCCATGGAGCAGGCCCAGTGAAAATCGCGAGTTGCGTACGCACCTTGTGTGTCCCTCTGAGTGGTCACCCCGATCAGGGAGGGCTCAGGGTTTCGCGTCTGCGGGGAGGCCGCCGTCGGCTACGACTCTCTCACCACGCCCTACGCTCGCGTCTCGCGGTCATCGTCGCCACCCGTGTCAAAACCACCCGCTGAACCGCACACCACTGACCACCGTCTGTGGCTGCTAGCCACGCGACCACGTTCGATTCTCACCGGGCGTAAATCGCGTGTACGTCGCGCCACGCCGCAACACGCACAACAGCCGCCATAGACACCATCGCCAGTTTCGCCAGCGACCTACGTATCGATCGGCTACGCAGCCCTCCATCTCCACCACAACAAACGCGGCAGCGAGGCGGCCATTTTGAGCGAGCCTGCGCGGTGCACTCCAAGCAGACGATGCGAAATTGCCCTTATTTCGCGACCAAGTGACGCCCGCGCATCGCCCGGGCCCTCAACGCGCGCTTACCCGCTAATAACGCGCGGATATTTTTTCACCACTCACCGATTTCCCGTGAGAATCTGCGAAAATCCACCAGCGACCACGGAAACACGAACACCATATACATGTATACAGGTCTGGAATAACGTGATTGGCCGCCGCGGCTAGGGTACGCGTCATGGCGTCTACCCGATCTACGCTCTTATTGGGCCCTGAAACACGTGACACCTAGCTCCACACAGTCGTTCCTGGAACGATGTGCTGAGTTTCAGCATAACCTCTACTCGAAACCTGAAATCTCGTCGGAGACCGTTCCGCGCTTCGCACGTTGTTTTGACATTTCATTTTGGAGTAACGTTCACGTAGGTATGCGAATATTTCATTGATCCGTATCATTTAGTGTCGTTCCTTTTATCATATTCCTCTGTTTTATGAAATCTTACAAAAATTTGACACTTTTTCCTAATAAACACAAAAGTGATCGGCAATGACGTCGTAATCGTTGCATCAAATTGCAATACAGGCTCATTATCTTATACGCAAAGTTCTAAAAACTAATACACAACTTCTTAGTTCAAGAAACTCAAAGTCCAAGTAATTAGACTACTTACTGGATTTTCAATTACTCCAGGCTACATATTTCTCTTTTGTAACTTGTGTTTTTTTTTTGTTTTTTTTTTTTTGCCATAATAAAACGAGATCGAACATAAAGATGATGCCTTCATCTTCCATCTTTACCTTGAGTTCCACAAAGTCACAATGCGCCACTGTATTTTTAGTACTATAATTTTAAGGGAGAAAATACATTTTATTTTTTTTTACAATCATTACAATAAATCTAACAATATAAAAGTATATTATTAAAAATAATATTTAATAGTATAAAATGTTGTAAAGCAGCTTTACATATCACATCTGGGGTAGGGTAAATTACTAACTATACACGTTAGTTTCGAGTGGTACTAACCAATTGGATTTTAAAATGCTTCTCTTCATGGGAATAATATTTCAGTCACTGAACTGGAATTTTTTAAATTAATTGCGAGGTCTGCAGAAAAGTCTCGAGCTTCTAAATGGAGATAAGAACTTTTATCGCATTAATCCAATTGATTATAGTCCGAATACCACAGTGAAAAATATCCTCCTACTTTCAAGCCCATGGCTTATTTTTGTTGCACAATTTTCCAAACCAACCAGGCTCGCAAAGACACGTATTATCGGGTTGACAAGTTCCGTTCCTGCATACTCTCGTGCAAGCCGAACGTTGCGGCGATCGTCTACCAATTTCGCAATGATCACCCTTGAAACCAGCAGGGCATCTGCATACATTGTTGCCTTTGCACTTTCCCCCATTCAAACAGGGTATTACACATTTTGCTAAAAGTCAAAAGAGAAAGACAATTTGTTAGAGATTAACGATATTTGCGTTTGAAATTGTATGGGTAGATTTCTAAAACTTACAGAATTCACAGCGTAGTCCAAAGTAACCTTTTGGACATTCACAGGTATCTTTCTGTACACATTTGCCACCATTTAAACATTTCTCTGCGCAAATCCCTAAAATTTATTAATTTTAATAAAAAAAAAAAAAACAACATCTCATATTTATCTTTCAAGTTTATAGAAATTATGCTGTGCGTAAAACAGCTCGGAGCGCGACACGCCTGCACATCAGCAGCTTCGAGAGCGACTAAGTCAGGGAAGCTATTAGATCCGATTATAAGGGTAGATCACGCTGGAGAGTTAGGAGCTGATAGAATATATGCTGGACAAATGGCCGTTTTAGGTATAAATTAGACCATAAAGATATTAGGATACAGTCTTCCAGAAATGGATCTAAGTTTGATGGGTATATAAGACAGGTAGGACTTCCGTTGGTCCAACCATTCAGCACATGTGGGATCAAGAGAAAAAACATCGTGCGAAGTTTGAGGAATTGATTCGAAAGTATCGCGTAAGACCCACCGTTTTGACGCCTATTTGGAATGTCGCTGGCTTCGTACTTGGCGCTGGAACAGCGCTTATGGGAGAAAAAGCAGCCATGGCTTGCACCGTGGCCGTAGAGACAGTGATTACGGAGCATTACAACGACCAATTACGTACTTTAATGGAGAGCGATGTAAAGATAGACGAAGAAATACTCGAAACGATAAAAAAATTCCGCGACGAAGAGCAAGAACATCACGACACAGGAATCGATCATGGCGCGGAGCAAGCTCCGTTCTACCAAGCTTTAACGAACGTCATTAAATATGGTTGCAAAACCGCCATATCGATATCGAAAGTTATATAATTTATTGTCAGAGTTCAGTATTGTAATATCCGTACGTAATATGTAACGAATTATCTTAGCTTCTATGTTTCATTATGATTTAAAAGTACCTCCTTCGCAGTACGGCCCTTGAAATCCCGGTGGACAGGAACAGATACCAGGGGCTGTACAATTGCCACCGTTCATACAATTTGGATAACACAGAGCTTTTTTGCATTTTGGTGGTCCTAAATATCCATCTGGACAAGGTCCAGGATTCGGCTCTGCAATATAAACGTTACGTGTAAAAAAACAGTCTCGCTCTAAACTAAACGTAATAATTACTTTTCAGACGACTCAAATAGTGATAATAAGTGTAACTTTAGATACATTGTAATAACAGTACATAGAGTTCATGCATACTCCTACCAAGCATAGATCACGTGCATAGCATTTGCAATACGCGGGCAGGTGAAAAATTCTTATCTTTTTACCGCATTAAAGAATATGTAATAATATTGTATTTAATGTTTATGTAATTTATTATTCTAATTAAATTTTGCCTATGGCAATCTATGCTTCATTGATTTTCATCTACGTTCCGCGACAGCGCCGGTTTATCGTCAGGGAACACCAGAGGCATTAAATGATTATTTACCGCTACGCCCACTCGAATTCAAGTAGATAAGCGTAAATTGCATACGCCGACTGTCGTTTAAGAAACGCTTCGGTCACTTAAGATTCCTTTATCGACGTATATTTCGGGATATCTCAAAGGTGGAGAACAGCCGTGCATTCATTCGATCGAAAAAGTGAATTAGTCAATTACGATCCGCGAAGTAAAAGCATGCGCGTATGGACGACCGTATCTGAATGCGTTTAAAAAATATCGTGCTTAAAAATCAAGCGCACAAAGGCGTACTCTATGCGTGGACTAAACGAGGAGACGATCGAAATTTATCTACGCTACGTTGTTGTACATTTATCCGACTCGTGGTCTTTTCTTTTATGAAAAATAAAATTATTAAAGGAAAGAGGTAGATAAGCTGGAGGAGGACATGAATGAATATAGATTTCGATCGTTTCCACTCGTGACATGCAGCAAATTAGGCGATGAATTACTGCTGATACAGAACTGTATGTGTGAGTGGAGAGATGGTGATCGTGGGCGCGATTAACGCACTCACCGCGCACGGTGCATTCTTTTCTCAGGTTAAGACGAAGGGGTGTCCCGTTTAAAGGTTTCCCCTTGCGTGTCTCGATCATCAGACCGATGCCCAATTGCGCTATACCGGAGTTGTTACCAGAACAGGGCAATAAGACGCTGAATTCTGCGACAGAATTAATCGCACGTTTATTACACAGTGTAAAACAATATAAACGCAACTGTAACAAAAATAGCAATAAAAATCGACAACGACAGAGATTTAATGTTCCTTTACCTTTCGGTCTCTTGGGCACTCTTCCTTGCGTTTTGATCGTGATAGACGGAGTTTTAAGGATCGACTCGTCGAACGATTTCAGTCGATAAAAATTATAGTAGTACTTCTTGACGCCTGATTTCCATGTAAAATTTACGTATGTGACCTCACTCGGGATGATCGGCAGTTTGCTCTCGAATTCGGGATCCAGCAGATAAGACAACACCCTGCCTTCGGTAATCGCGAATATTTCCATTTCGACTCCTAAATGTAATCAAAACATTGATATTCATTTACGCAAGTCTTTTTAAACGAATAACAAAGTCGATTACTTTTACAAATTTTTATAGTCCTTCGATACGTCGAGAGGCCACATGTCTGTTAAAATACAGATTATATATTTTTAATCGCTACAGTAGGTCACGTAACCAGTAGAGAACACGTAAAAATAAATAATTCGTACGAATCTCTGCGATTCTTTAAAAAGAATAACACCGCGAGAGAATGTGGCGAACGGACGTTTCGCGAAACATTACCCGGTGCCGATGCAAGGTAAGCACACCGTGCACTAATCCTGTCATCGACACTTTATTAGATTAAAAAACCGCGCCATAAAGGATACAGTAGCTTTCTATTCGTTGTTTGTTTTGCTCAAACATTGGAGGCTGAATTATGACACGAGGTCAACGCGTTCGTTATTCTCACTCGGGTAGAATGACTAGACTTATAGTAATTTCAATGGTTTTTAGTTTATATAAAGTGAAATGAATTTAAAACGTCAATCGAATATTCTGCGCAATGTGAAATACATTGGACTATAGTAGTTCATTTTTTTTATAAGACGGAGAATCATCTGTCACACATGGCCGTGACAGTGGTCTCTCGTCGTGTCACGAATATGTTACGCGTGGTGGCTAACGTATCGAGTTTTCCACTAAATGAATAAAAGTTGGTTCGTACAATCGTCCAGGGTGTTTCGGTTTCGCTGAATTAATCGTATAAAGTTTGTCTCATATCTCGATTGCGCGGAAAGACGACTCACCGCTGAACATTTTAATCTGTTGCTGGTCGATCCAGAGGGAGATGTCACCGGTCGGTTTGTGCCCATTGCCGGAGCGATGGTGATGCCTCGCGGCCGCCGTGTCCAGGAGCAGAGCGATCGCCGCCGAGGCCAGGGCGGCTGCGGCCCACTGCATAATTAACGACGTGCCGCCAGGTGTTGCACGGTTTATGACTAGTCCCCCTTGTGGCCTACGTAAATCTCTCTCTCTCTCTCTCTCTCTCTCTCTCACTCTCTCTCCCTCTCACGCTCGCGCGCGCGAAATCCTGCTTGCGGCTTGTCGGCCCGACGTATACGCGTGTGCGTGTGTCTCTCTGTGTTGGTGCCTCCTCTTTCGTTGCTGTGAGCGTACGAGAGCGGACGTGCAGAAGAGAGGAGATCGAGGAACACGCCGCGATTCGACGCGTGAAATTCGGGATTTCACGGCGAGAAGCTCGAGACGAACGGGCACGTTCTCACGCACGCAATCTAACGAGCTGACACAACCGGGCAGAGAGACCCGAGATGCGGCCGCCGATGGTTCAGTGGGGATCAACTCGCGATCGAACCAACGACCGGTTGACCGACGACCAATTGCCGATGCTCCGCTCACTCGTGGTCGCGTACAGTCCACGCTCCGTCGATAATGCAGCCAGCCCCACGGGGTCGCGCGACGTACGGTCAACAAGACGCGCATACACACGTGCGTACGGGCCGCGTCGCTGCGGCAAACTGACTGACTGACTGCCAGACTCAATGAGAAAAGGCCTGCTGCTTGCTGCTGCTGCTGCACCAGCATCCAGCAGCCCGTGTTCTTGCCCGTGAGACCGCGAACGAGATCTCTATCTTCTTAAGGGGTCCCGATACGTTCTGGGGATAAGGGTGCGTGCACAACGATTCCGAGTGTCGATATCTCCTTCCGTCCTACTCTCCCACGAGTGACGATCGATCGCCCTTTTAGTGACTTTCACTTTTACATCCTGCAAAAGAAGGTTTTCTTAACAAAAAAAGTTGATAGTCTTAATAGGAAAGATTAATACAATTTAGTCTTCCTCTTCCAAACTATACTCATCCAACTATATCAAGCCGTTAATCACCTCTGTGTTGGCGAAGTGAAATCGATCCGGATGTAATCGCCCGTGGGATAATTCCTCGCAGTGGCACACCTAGAAATTTAACGAAAGGGGTTGGAAAAGCTAAGGAAAAAAGAAACGAGAGGTAAAAAAGATATCAATGGTTAAAAGTGAATACTTGTAGCGAACGAGGGGGTGCGATGGAATAGCACTTCCTCCTCTTGGTGTGTCACCGATTCCCCGTGTCTCGAAATTCTTCGGTACATTCGCGAGTTACCCGCGGATGATTTTATTAAAGACACGCTTCGTTCTTGATAAACATCTGGCAGATTTATCTTCTGGCATATCGGAGACGGGCCCCGTCGACATATTTTACAGGACGGCGCGGCCGATACCGATCTACCTTCGGGACTTCGAATATCGTATACGCGGATATATGGAAATCAGAATTCGGATTAGCAAATAAGGTGAAAAGAAAGATCGGTGGAAGGAACCAGTTTTTAAACGTCTTTGGGCCCGGGGTCCTCCTCCTTGTTTCTTCTTTCATTCTCTTTCGTACTTCGTCTTCTATTCCCCTCCCCCTACCCTTCTCCTTCTCCTCCGGCTACTCCTCCACCATCACTTCGTCGCCTTCCCCTCTCCCCACTGACGTTCGAGACTCCGCAGTCTGTCTTTGCATTCGGCAAGGAGAATACACGGTTGCAGTTTGGACTTTGCTCGGGGGCTTGACATCGAGCTCTGTCATTGACTTATCGGTGTCCCAGACTCGTCTTAAGTAGTTCGGCTACTCGGAAGAAGGCGTGTGGAAGTTCAGTCGACTCGGACAAACGAAGTACACACGTTCGCGGACCTACATGACTGAGAGCAGTAGCGCACCTAGACGGAGAAGTGAAGGGCGCAGGGCTATCGCGCTTCCCCTTTCTACAAATATCCAATTTTTTAATTATCGACGCTTTTTTTTTTTATATGCCGGTGCAAAAGTAAACCAACCTCTTCTAATAATACATTACAAAACTGGAACATCGTAGATAGACATAGGACGTTAACAGACTTTAGATCTCGCATAGACACTATTTCACAGATATCGGAGCTTAACGAACAGACCCTGCTGCCAATCAGTCCGCTAAATCGAGGATTTCACTGCACGCCGAGTCGTGAATGCTCGCAGGCGATATCTTTATTTTTAAAGGTCACACCGTTGGGACTCCCAAGGGATTACGGGGGCTGTTCTGTTTCCATCGAGCAACAGGTTTAACGGAGCTCTCAATGAATAGTTGATAATAGTGTCCATTGTGGCCAGCGTGTCGAGGGATGGGCCCATCCAACAAATGGCCCATTGTTATCTCTTACGGGCTCTTCGGTTTTTCTGCTGCTCCCTCTCTTTTCCTCATTCTTCCTCCACTGTAATTTAGAACGAAGAAACGATCCCGCGCTCCAAGCTATTATTACTCTATTCCGCCGATTGAAAAATGCTCGCGACTCGCAATCGATTCGGAGCACCTATGGAGATTCAAATTTAATTTTATCGACGTCGATTATTCAGCCACAGGTGTTCCGCTGGCGGACCCTTCTTACTGCGTTTCCCAATCTGTTACAAATACTGCCCTGTTAGGTGCCGCTGCGTATACGGGACATGCACGATTTTACACTCTGCCGCTCGCGTCGGTCGCGCCGCAAACATTTTTCGCGCCTCGCGTAGACCAGCGACTCGATGCGAAGCGATTGATCTTTCCAGAAGTATGGATCGTCGGGGACTTTCTACAAACAGGTGTGGATAACCGATGGTACATACGACTCCCGTGAGGTATACATAGGGTGTCCCATTACGGTCCAAAAGTCAATGCTGTGGTGCTTTGACGATTTCAATACAGAATCGGTATCGTTCACCTTTCCTTTTTTCTTACAACGGGGATTCTTCGTCGAAAAATCTAAAAAATTAAGTAACGCATCCCTATATATGTAATTTTAATCCCTCATTTAAGTCAAGATATGCATAGAAGGTAACGTTAACTACCTGGAAGAGTCGTCAAATGTTTGCCTTTGTAGAGTTTGGAGTAATAAATTGATTTATGGACTGGTATCGGTAGCGTCGAATCGGTACGGTACTCGCTTCCAAAACGGACCAAACGTCACTCCAATGGCCCATCCAGAAATTTAACAACGAAGGTAACATCTACAAATTAACAAGAAATGGAATAGGTCACATGTTTCTTGAAACGCGTTAAATAAATGTAACAGAAGAATAATGTAATTATAGGAGTGAATTTGTTTACAGTATGTCTACTGCAAGAAATTATATTAGGAAATTATATTACTAGGTAGACTGGAAAGTAATAACGTTTCTTCTACATTAAATTCAAACAAATTTTTAATATATTTCTATTTTTAATCAATTACATAATCGCCCTCGTTATCAACAGTCTTTTGCCGTCTAGTGTTCAAATTTTCAATGCCAGATCGATAAAAATCAACGAGCTGATGAGTACTTTAAACAAGTATTTAAAATTGCAAAAACGACATTACTTTCCAGTCCACCTAATATAAACCTACCGCCGTTATATGTAATTGCTTTGATAAATATAGATACAAACGAAACGTCGGTAGGTTTGGTGTTAAATGAAATTACAAAGGTACATCATAGAATAAAATGTTTTACAATGATGAATAGAAACGCGTATATTCGCCGCCTATTCGGACCTGACGTGACGGAATCGTGGCGACGGTGTAGAGGGCCTACCGCTAAGGGATAAGGCATCTCTTCGATACAACATACAATTGATCCGAGATAGTGTATTATACGCGGCTCACGAACAGGGAAGCGAGTCCTCGAGGGCCGTCTCCCGAGAGCGGCCTGTGCCGGTTTTATTCCCGATCGATTGTTTTTGCCCGACCGTCGCAAACCTAATTGGATTCGCTACGAGCCACGAGGACCCGTATTATGGCGAGCATTACGCAAAATCACGTACCGTCCCGACGCTTTTAAAATGTCGATCCTGCCGGCCCGTTTGAACCGTAATCGTGGCCGCGGAATGGAATCGGGTCGGCGATTGGTTGTGCCGCTTAATTGCAACGAATAACTTTGTACCCACAAAATTGTTTTTCGACGCCGTCCAGCTTTCTTACCGGGATCCCGTATCGACGATCGGAATGGTCCTTTTTGCTCGCCTCGAATTTACCTTCGATATCGTGGAATCCAGCGCTGCAAAAAAAAAACATTTCTAATCAACCCACTGAATCGCATTCAAACCCCAGAGTTCTATCACTATTTCTATTCGAATACATTTGCATTCCGGTCAATTTTTATCTCGTACGATGACAATGATTTGTTCAAAAAAAACTTTGTTTTCTCCGCGCGAGACAATCGTAAACATCGAAGGATCGTCGCCATTGTTGTTTTGATTGCTCGCCGCTACTTGTATGCGCAAAGAGGATGCGTGCTTATCTAACCACCAATTGTTCTTCTAACCCTTCTTCCTATTTTCTGTAATAGAAAAATCAAGAATTCACTTAATCATCCTATAATTTTTAATCACACTTCTCCTTTCCTTCACGTCGTACGCTCGGATTGCTACGTCGCATATTAGGTTAGTCAAAAATCGTGTCCCGCATGTTTCGCATTCCTACGTGATTGTGTCGCGGTAGCTACGTTGTAATTCTTACCTTGCAATGTACGTGTGTACGATCGACGTGTGCAAGTCCTATATGTATACACGATTCTTCGCCATCATACGCCGTCGACCTTACCTCCTCTTCCTCGAGACATAGACGCACGCACACAGTTCTACATCGGGCTCGACACAGACACGCGACTCCTCGAGCAAGGCGTTAACGTCGGTGCATGTACTTAGCTGACGGCGCGGCGGTCAGATCTTGGGTATATACATTTCTGCGTCGTCTGTTCGCCTTCCCCTTTCATCCTTTTTGTCTTCACTTCCGGTCGCTGTTCGCGCGTCGCAAGGGTGAGCGAAAAATAGCGGGAGCGAAGAAGGTGGAGAGGCTGGCGGGAGGGGGAGGGATTAGCCGATAAGGGAATGGACGTTATTCAAATTAATCTTTATCTAGATCAAAGCTTATTCGTAAAAACTTGTACGAATAAAGCTTGACTAAAAGTTGACAACGACTAAAAGTTACTCGTTGCATAGATGTAACTGGTCACAATTCTGAGAGTATCGCAAAATTGGAAAAAAGTAGATAAGAGAAATGGAGCGAGAAGTTGTAACAGAAGAGGGTGAGGTAGGAAGAGGGATAAGGATGGTGCCAGGAAAAAGGAAGGACAGAAAGGAGAGGAGAGAGATCGGGTGGAAGGGGAGGAGGAGAACGACTCACGAGAGATCAAGTTAGAGTACCGGCACAAAAAACCTGTCCCGCATAATTACATTATCGGTCACATCTCGTTCGACTTCTGTCCGCGCGGCTCTCTTGCTCGCCTGATCGAACGCGCTCCCGTCGAACAGAGGGGCCCGCGTCTTCGAGGACGATGCAACGAGGGCCCTGAAACCGCAGGGGGTCCATCGTTACCTTTTTATACAATCTTTTCATGACCTTCGCTGATTGCGATTGGAAAGACTAACAAATTGGCATCTCCATCGATAATAATCCATAAATTTAACTTAATTTCATCTACTAGTCGCACGGGAATTATTACAAAGTTTTGAGTACAGAGATCGCAGATGGGTGTAACAAATAAAAACGCCCCTAATTTCTACACTTCCATTTATAATTCAGAACGTAACCTTTATCGAACACACAATGGATCGGATTATATACTAATTTATACATATTTTCGTTTTATTTATCTTTTTATTGACATGGGAGAGATGTTACACAGGCGTTGGAATGCGCGTTATCGTAATCGCTGATAAACGGTCAGAACTTAAAGCGAATCGATTAAATTTTTACATAACATTCGTAACGCAATGAGACGCAACGCGATTTGTCGCGTGATGAGATGAAAGAACCTTCGACTGGGTTGCTAAACTCTGCAGTCTCTACCTTGTAGAAAAAATATTGAAACAATGGCACCCGTCAAAAATATGCAGGAAGAACGTATTCGCGTTCTTTGTGCATCTTTCTGACGGGAAACGCATTAATATCTTAATAGTAATAAGATAATGTACAATTAAAAGGTTAGCACGATAGGCGCGCACATGTTCGAACGGGTGTACTTTTTTCTTCCTTTTCTTTTTTGCGTTATTTTTGACATTTTTTATGGACAACATGCGCCGTCCCGTCGTTGTAAATTCTGCGGCACGTTTGTAGAAGTCGCGCATCGTATTTGTCATGTAAATGTTGCGTCGACGGTATATAAATAAAATCGTCGATACATCGATAAAAAGAAAGAAAAACTAATTAAATCCAAAACAAGCTGATTCGAGCTGAATGCTTCTCACATTTCTACCGTGAATACAAAATGAAAGTCTATCACCCGTATAACGAGTAATGAAATAATAAAGAAAAAAAAATGTATCAAAATATATTAAAAAGTATCAAAATACCAGTTGCGGTTTACGAAAGTTATTGGAAGTTCACATAAGTTGTCACGTGTTCAATCCAACTGGAGATTCAAAACCATAGAGTACGTGATTTTTAAACGCTTCGAAAATATAGAGAAGATAGTACGATTAGAAAAATACATTGGAAACATAATCGCGTGCGCTTGTAACTGACTTGGACGTCTATGCTTATCCTTGGAAATATAATTTAATACAAGTTTACAATAAATGTCACTCTAATATATTACATATATGTCTCTGCACTTCATTTTTTCCTTTTATATACTTCGGTATTTTTACAATAAATTATTGTTTTCATTAATTTACAATACATCTCCCTTTTTGTAGTCGTCTACATACGTATGTATATATATATATATATATATTTATATATATAGAGTTCGTAAAAATTACGTGACGTCCAAGCCATTTGTACAGGGTAATCGGCAAAAAAGACCTTGACAAATATTAATTGAAACGTGAGAGTTTTCATTAAAGGAAACGTGTCTTTTTAACAATGGGCACTCGGTAAAGCTTTCGAAGAAAATTGGACAGAATAATTGCTATGCAGTTCATCGTTCTTTTTTTGTTGTTTTTTTTGTAAGCTGGGAGCTACGTATCCTTTTGGAAGTATCATATACATTTTTACGAACTTCACGCGCGCATGTAGTGTAAGTATTCTATATTTTGTACCTTTCTTATTTTTGTACCTGACATATTTGCTCGCGACACTTTTGCAGACAACCTGTACATTGCATTGAATATGCTAAACTTAATACGGTAAATAAAACGTACATTTACTCTCGAAGAAATCAACGAATCATCTATGATTTCATAACACTTTATATACTAAAACGTAATAATAGCTGCTCCTGTGTGATCGCATTCTTTTAAGACTCTAAGCATTAATTAATAATCAATATATGTCTCTATATGTTCAATATTTAATATATTAAATAATCAATAGCCTATATTCATGGGATTATAATAAAATTACCAAAAAAGGAAAGTAAACATTCATAAAAATAAAAGGACTTTCGTTTTCAGCTAAAGCACGTTTCACATACAAAAAGCAACAATTAGAGGCCATGTGACATTTTCCTTTTCCTTTAACTACTATAGTGCATGTACAATGTTCTTTTTAATATCATACTAATAATATCTTTCATATATTTTTGTCGTTCGTGTATCGTTAATGAAAGTGCAAGTGCACGATAATTGTAGATAGTCACTGATTCGTTATATTTGGCCCTCTGTCGGCAGAGTAAAAATTGATTGCATCTAAATGTTCCTTAGAACAATCTTTTACTTTTTTTTTTTAAGTTAAAATTAGAATCAGTCGAGGCCAGATTGCGGCACCATTCCATATCAGTCCATCCGTTCTCAAGATTGCATATAAGTAACACCGATCTAACCAATTTTGCGTAAACCGAATGATCGATACCGATTATCTCTTTTTCTCTATCTCGAAAGACGTGATCCTATATGCAGCCTCAAAAGTGCATCAAGCTTTTGTGCCATACATACTTAGAACAATATAAACATAACTCGTATACCCTGTCGTAAGCTGAAGTGTCCGCTTGAATCTGGCCTTGTCAAATGTTACG